CAGAAGACCATTTTATATGATGAACTCCTGCTATCTTTAGTGCTGTTTAGCGGTACTTAACAACTATTTGTGCTGTAAACGTTTGCTAGTTAAGCTTTGTGTATAACTTTTAAATTTTACTGCTAGCTAACAGAACTATTATATCATTAGCAGAAAAGTTATAAGTATACCGGCCCTGAATTTTATTTTTATTTTATGTTTTTTTATGGAGGGAATTTTAGTTTTATCTGCTACAGAATGGGCAAATAATTATAGTAGGAGATGTTAAGTACTGGATGATTGTTACCATGTTCATCACTATGCTGCTGCTACTACTACTACTACTACTAATATTGTTTTTGTTTTTTAAGTGGCCTCCAGCCTCCCCCAATAGCCACACCTTCGCCGCCATTTTATTGCCTTAAAATTAAATATCCTAATACATAAGTAGCTACCCTAGCTGTGTTGAGTTAGTTGAGCTGCAGATCTATGCGGCATTCAGTGACTGTTGCCTCATAGTCAATATCTGCAACTGTTGTCGGCTTTGGGGCAGAAAATCTCGTTCCCCTGAGGCAGAGCAATGCAGACCTAAGCAGAGAGAAGAACAGTCAACACCTCAACCAGGCTGTAACATAACTTCTGGGCTGCTGCTTCCGTTCAGATAACACCTCCGCCAGTCTTGCGTAGAAATGTCTTGCACTTGGTCCCTTCCCGGCAGAGGTTGTGAACACCATAGGAGTGAAGCTGCACTGATCCACATTCTGAATTCTCTTTGCTTATACCCTAATCTTGTCGTTCTCGTTCCTCTTTTGTGCAACCTCAAGAGACAAGTTACGGTGACATGAGGCCATGGGGTCGAATATCCTAACAACAAAGAAAGCACACTATTCCGGGCCCAGAATCCTCGAGCGCTGACGTCCACACGGGCTTCGTTAGATGTGTTTGAAGTCCTGTAATGGAGGTTCTCACCGTCCAATGGAAGGAGGGGTGGTTCCACCGTGACGTCGTGGCAGATTTCCTTCAGTAGTTTGCTGTGAGATCCCAAACTTCATCATGCCTCATGCATATGAAGCCCCCTTTCCTGCACACCATGGCGTGATCGACGTCATAGGAAGAGCCACACACGCATTGGGAGGGCAACCCTTCTACTGGCCTACCGTACCTTAGAGCATTGGCAACTGTAAATTCTTGTTTATTGAGACTGAAACCATTTGCCCTTATTGGTAACATAGTTAACCAGCTCGAGGCGCTCACCTCCTGTGCTATAGTTACTTCTTTTTTTTCAAATTCTCTGGTACTTGCAGCAACAGTTGCTGCAACTTATCCCTTTGGCCGTGCTGTCGTTCTGTCGTAATGGACCTTCGAATATTATTTACTTCACTGGTATCCACCTCCCCTGTTGCGTTCTGAGCTATTATGCGGTCCGTGAGGTCTGCCATGAGCTTAACTGAGTTTTGATGTTCGGTGGCAGCAATCTCCTCTGGATTGGTGAATCCCATTCCTCCTAGTCTCGGTGGTAGTGCAAGGAGTGATCTTTCTGCTGGGGTTAAGTGAGGGTGTTTCACTAATTTGGGAATGAAAATGACGCTGATAGCTTCTTCCAGAGGGTGGAGGAGGGGTCCGATATCAGGGATAGTGCGCATCAGGTAGTTCCAGCGATGCTTGACTCCATGGGTTAATGCAGCAAAAGCCGCATGTGGCTCTGTGTTAGCAATCTGAGACAGAGCTTTGGATTTCCCAAACCCACTCTTTCATCTTTCCCGTTACGTACTCGGTCTTGAAGTCCGTCGTGCCGATTACTGCGTCTATGTGTCTTTGGCCATCCTTTGTTATTTTGACCTCAATTCCACCGAACACCTACATTGCCCGTTCATAATGTTTTGGCTTCACAATGAGGAAGGACTTGCTGGCGTTTGGGTGGTACCTTATTTGTAGGCCTCGTGATGTTACCAGGTCTCACCACTTTTTGATGTCTTCCACTTTTCCTGCTCCTGTAAGGTCATCAGCGTACGCCACTTGCTTGACCTCAGTTGTTTCAAATTTGATTGTGTGTTGGAGCATTGCAACAGGGCCCCCCTGCATTGTTCCCTCGGTTGACTGTATGATGGTATCACCTTTTAGAGCCTTGTTGTTTACTATATAGAGGTTTGATGGATTCCTATAGTAGTTTTCAACATACAGTGCAAAGCTTGGACACTTGATCTTGATGTTGTGCAGTGCTGCCTTGTGGTTAAGTATGTTGAATGCGTTTGAAGAGTCCACCAGGAGAACGGCCTCACAATCACGCTGCTCACATATCGTTCTCATGGCGTGAATGGCAGCTTCCCCTCCAGCCTGGTGGCCAGCACAAACTTGCAGGTTCCCTGCTGCTGCCTTGACATCATCCTTTACCACCTCCATTATGCATTTTCCGATGATCCGCCTCAACACTTCTCCCATCCCTATAGGCCTACATCCTGAATTCTTATCCAGGGGAATGAGGCGGCAGGCCGTCAGAGCATGGAGGTGTTGGCAAGGACGGCAGTGGCAGTGCAGAGATCGCTTGCTACAGGGCCAAACTTGTAAGTGCTGAGGATGACTCTCCAACCGTTTGCATCCAGACCTGAAGGGCCGGCACCTCCTCGAGTCTTCAGTGCCTTTTTCCACACCATCCCTCCTGTTATTTTCTCGAACAGGACAGCATTTGGTGGGATATAGTCACCCTGGAACCTGATGCCTTCGTCTTCACTTGCAGGGGGATGTTTTTGTTTCAGTTGTTTTAATGTCTCTGTTTATTAGCAGAACCCTACCGGATGGTTCCTCTGTGAGAGATCTTACCGCCAAAGACACTTTTCCCACACGCATTTTGTTTCCAAACTTTCTTGCAACATCATCGGTGTTTTGCTTTCCGTCTCTTGTAAATTTTAGTCTCTCCTGCAGTGTTCTTGCTTCACACGGGAGATCATCAAGGACCCCATTCTGCCACATTGTTAATCTTCTCTTCATTGCTGCCGCATTTTCTTTGTGCTTAGTGTTTGTGTGTGTCCTCTGACAGAATAGATGTGGTATTATGGCCAGAATTTGAAGAGCTAAAGGGGCAAGGAAGCAGTCCTGAGTGTACTTAGTTATGAGGCGAATCATCTCCCGAATCATTTCTTTGGTGGCCGCACACTTGGGTGGTTCAAACAGGTTAGCTGGCGACCACCTGACAATTTCTGAGTAAGTTTCTTTAACCCATATGTCCGCATTTTCCATCGACATGCCATTCCACTGTGGTGGCTGTCTCTCATTCACCTCGTGGACATCTGCTACTATTGGAGCAGCGTTTATTAGTACTACATTTTCAGGTTGAATAGACTCACTGCTAACATTTAGGATATCATAGGGTGGTTGGGTCCCGGCGATATCCACTGTGGCCTCCTGTGTCGGATCCCTGCCATGTAGGTTCCGACAATTGTTTCCTTTTTTGCAAAACACACATGGTCGGTTGTTTCTCGCACTATCACAGCTAGTGCAAATGAGCAATTTTGGTTCTGGCTAGCACAGACGCAACAATGTCTTACCCGGCATAGTGTTCCGCACCTTGGGCGACAGTTACGTCCGCCTCCGACATCTGCTTTGGTCCCATACAGGAGAAAAAACAAGATTTATGAGGAAAGGGCGGAGAGGTGACAGGCTGGACTACTGTGTCCGGGTAGTAACGGCATATGTGTGTAGGCCACCTCCCCATGTGGGCGACAATCCACACATCAGAATGAAACACTGGGAGCAAGAAATTGTCACACCAAGCACTTGTTTATATATCCTTGGCAGAAATAACCACTATTTCTATGGTAGCACTGATGTAATATCAGTTATATATACTCACTTGGTCGGCCGACACTACATGAAGTGACCGTTGCTTATGGGAGGCTACCGCAAGCGTAGAACACTCGGCCCCATAGGGGCGAGAGTCTCAATGCCATCCCTGCCAAAGTAGGCCTATCGACACTGGCACTGGCACCTGCACTAGTCGTCCCACCAAATACTCACAACTCGCTACTCGCTTGGTGATCGCCGGTAAACACACGGAATATTTGCGATTAATACCGTAAGGGATGAGAAGAACCTTCGGTGACAATGCTTAGGGTGACACCCGATATTCACCGACACACTGTGAAATTCCCGCTCCCACACTCCGAATATGTCCCCTCCAATAACACTTTAGATCGGGGAGGACACTACACCACACCCACGCCGCGCTGGCCCACTACTACTACTACTACTATCATCCTCTTTGCCACTACTGTCATCTTTATCATTACTAATATCATCATCACTACTACCACTTTCACCATCATCACCCACCACTACTCTCATTGTCACCATCAGTATCAACACCATCACCACTCCTGTCATCATCATCATCATCAGTCAAAACTACCATTACTATCACCACCACCACCAACCACCACCACTCAGCAGCATTAACCGATACCACAATTAACCACCACCACTCACCACCAACTACCACCTCAAACCACCACCACTCACCACCAACCACCACCAACCACCACCACCACCACCAACCACCACCACTCCCACTACCACCACCACTCACCACCAACAACCACCACAATCACCACCACCACCACTCACCACCAACCACCACCACTATCAGCAACCACCACCACTCACCACCAACCACCCACCAACAACCACCACAATCACCAACCACCACTCACCACCACCACCCACCACCAACAACCACCACAATCACCAACCACCACCACTCACCACCAGCCACCACCACTATCAGCAACCACCACCACTCACCACCAACCACCACTCACCACCAACAACCACCACTCACCACCAACAACCACCACAATCACCAACCACCACCACTCACCACCACCACCACCCACCACCACCAGCATCGCGTCAAGGGTGAGAAGCAACACACACAGGATATGACTTGACACACTAGACCGTGGGAGTAAGGCAGGTGCGGTATATAAACAACAGGTATAATGATGTTATAGTCACTCGCTTCTACCTGCGCCCTCCACACACACACCTCCTCATGCATACCGTAAGACGTCTTCCATTGATACTTCATTTGTGGTGTATGTATGTATGTATGTATGTATGGCTACCTGTGGTGTAATGGTCAGCATGCTCGCCTCGCAAGCAGGCAGCCCTGGTTCGATCCCCGGGCAGGGTAAGACTATGGACAAGTTTCTTTACGCCATTTCCCTCTGTCTACTCAGCAGTAATTGGGATCCTGGATGTTAATCGATTTTCGGATCGTGTTTTGGGGTAATGGTTAGTCATGCAGCTGGTTAACTCAGGCTGTGGTTGATGTGTTGGCGACAGTTTCTAGTTTCTACACCTTAAACAGCCATCCTCGTAACACAAGGGGCAACTATTATGTATGTATTTATATGTAATACATTATCATCACTGACAATTGTTTTTGTTTTCATAGTTCAAATAATAATTAAATCTTTGTTCACCTGGAAATAAATCAAATGCCATGAGACGACGGACTTTAATGAGTGGAGGAAATAACACTATCTTATTATATTTCACTTGAGTCAGGTCACATCTCACGCCAGTAATGACCTTTTCGATGCTGTGTCCTTGACCTTTGACCTTTAATATCCCTAAAACATAACACACACACGCACGCACACGCACGCACACACACACGCACGCACGCACACACACACACACACACACACACAAACACACACACGCACACGAAGGGCTATAGTTATTTCCATATTTACAGCTGGTGATGGTGATGGTGGCGGTGGTCGCTGCCAGTCTGGATGATCCTCCTCAAAGTCGGTCTGGCTATTTCATCCCACAACCGATAACTCACTTCGAAGTCCATAACCAGCCTGCCCCAAAATCTGTCCCGAGTTCTATCCCAATATCTACCCCAAAATCTGCCCAAAGTCCTGTCCCGGATTTTGGTCTTCACACCAACTTAAACCATGGACTCAACTTTACCCCACGAATTGTACCAGACTTTGCCCTGCTCCCTGGTCCAGAACCTGAACCTACCCCTGCCCTAAATACGGCCCCACGCCTTACTGTGCGCCATGCTTCGAGTCCCACCCAACGCCTGGCTCCAAGTCCTGCCCCTCGCCTCGCCCTACGACCTGTCTCCCTGCCACGCTTTGCCACACCACCTTCTCAACTTCTCAGGCGCCCCAACCTCTCCCCACGCCTTAGATTACGACCTACTTTCACCTCTCGTAGGCGCACCTACTCTAGACAAAAGCCTACTAAACCCATTTATTCCGATCCTAAGCCCATTTACTCTCACCCTAAACCCACTTATTCTCACCCCAAACCCATTTATTCTCACTCCAAACCCAATTATTCCGACCCTAAACCCACTTATTCCAAACCCACTTACTCACACCCCAAACCCACTCATTTCGACCCCGAACCCACTTCCACGAGACCTAATGAAGTCGTACCCATATTGGTCGACGATCGGGTCCAGCCATCAGCGGGGTCCTACAGCTTCAGATCAGAGACAAGTGACGGTGTGAGGCGGCAGGAGAGCGGGAAGGCTGTAGGCGGTGTTGAGGGACCTGTAAACACCGTCTCCGGGTCATACTCGTGAGTTGAAATTGAGCTTTGACGCATTGCTAGACCTGTTAAGTCGATTTAACCTAAGCTAACCTACGCTGATTTAACATAATTTAACCTAACCTAATCTAATCTAACCTAACTTAATCTAAACTAACCTAATCTAACATAATCTAGTCTAATCTAATCACACCAAACCTAACTAATGTAATCGAACAACCCAATTTATCCAAATCTACCATAATCTAATCTAATCTAATCTAACCTAACCTAACCTAACCTTTCAGTATATAAGAACATAAGAATGGAGGAAACTGCAGCGGGCCTATTGGCCCATACTGGGCAGTCCCAACCTCTATCGCTCATATATCCATCCAACCTATATTTGAAGCTCCTCAGCGTGTTTGAGTTAATGGTGATGTTTGGTAACTTGTTCCACTTATCCACTACTCTATTTCTAAACCAATGTTTATCTATCTCGCGCCTAAATCTAAATTTGTCTAATTTAAAACCATTGCTACAAGTTCGCTCCTGGTTGGATAGTTTGAGTACCTTTGTAATATCACTTTGTTTAACCCTGACTTCCAATTGTATACCTCGATTATATCGCCCCTTACTCTACGTCTCTCGGGTGGAAGTGCAAATTAAGATGCTTCAACCTATCTCTGTACTCAATGTTCATAATGCCTAGGATTAGTCTTGTCATTCTCCTAAGAATTCTTTCCAAGGATCATACATCCATTCTGTAGTACAGTGACCAGAGCTGAACAGGTAATCCAAGTGAGGTCTCAAGCTCAAGATATAGTTTTAGGATAACCTCACAAGTATGGTAACTAACATTCATTTGTATGAATCCAAGTACTTTGTTAGCCTTGTTTCGAGCAAATACACATTGTTGTCTTGGTTTAAGATTTCTACTTATCATTACTCCTAAGTCTTCCTCACAGTCGGATTTCTCTATAATATCTTTGTTCATCTCATATATGGTTTCTCTGTTTACATCTCCTAGACTAAGTACTTTACATTTGTCCACATTAAATTTCATCTGCCATTTTTCAGACCATGCGAATTTTTTTTTTTAGATCTTGTTGTTTTGCGGACTCCCCATCAGATTTAATTACAGTCCCTATTTTAGGGTCGTCAGCAAATTTACTTATGTTGCTGGTTACACCTATATCTATGTCGATTAAAATAATGAAAGCCCCTCGAAATCGAGGATGGCCAGCCCAAGGGCCAACACAACAACCATACCCTAAGTTAACGAGTTGCATGACCCAGTGTCAAGGAATAGTCCGAGAAGAAAGGACAACTCACCAACTGCACTGGCTAACCATTGCCCCGGAATACAGCCGGCAAATCGACTAACATCCAGGTTCCCAATTACTGCTGGGTAGACAGAGGCAAATGGCATAAACAAACTTGCCCACAGTTTCACCCTACCCGAGGATCGAACTCGGTTCCGCTCGCTTGCGAGGCGATGATCTTAACCATTACACAACAGGCCACCCAATATTGGTTGCCCCTCATGTAACGAGGATGGCCGGCGATTATGTATATAATAAATAGCAATGGGCCAAGTACTGAGCCTTGGGGTACTCCACTAGTGGTGCTACCCCAATTGGATTTAGTGCCATTAATGCTTGCTTGCAGTTTCCTCTCCTGTAACCACGTACTAATCCATTTTTAGAATATCTCCTCCAATTTCATGAGCCTCCACTTTTCGTAATAGTCTTTCGTGGAAGACTCTGTTGAAGGCTTTGCTAAAGTCGAGGTATACCACATCATAATAGTGTCTGTTATCCACTGATTCGAAAACAGTTGAAAAGAATGTTAATAGATTTGTCACACATGAACGCCTGCTTGTAAAGCCATGTTGGGAATTATTGATCACCTCGTGATTCTCCAGGTGATTTCTAATGGAGTTTGAAATTATTGCTTCCAGCAATTTTCCTACAATTGTTCTTAAACTGATTGGACGATTGTTAGAGGATAGTGATCTATCTTCCTTCTTGAAAATCGGTATCACATCCGCTATCCTCCAGGATTCTGGTACTAAACCCGTTTTTAAGGACTGTTAAACAAATTTGCTAAGGACAAACTAAGCTCTTCCTTACATTCCTTTAATAATCTGGCAAATATCTCATCGGGACCTGGTGACTTATTAGGCTTTAACTTGTTTATTTACTTACTATAAAATTACTAGTCAATAGTAGCTCGCTTAATCTATTTTCTTCACTATATCTGTATATAGTCGGTGCCTCGGGTATCATGTTTAAATTTTCGGTGGTGAAAACTGTTGACAAATATTTATTCAGATTATTGTTCATTTCTCCGTCGTTATCTATTAGATCGCCGGCATCTGACTGTATTGATCTAATCTCGTCTCTTGTGTTAGTTTGATAATTTGGAAGAATCCCTAAGGATTTGATGTCGCCTCACTTGCTACCTTCAGTTCAATATTCTTCTTTACTTTTCTTTTTTCGGTTTTAACTCTACTGGCCAATACCTTATAATAATCTCGGAGGTAAATTTCACCACGATTTATTTTCTTATCTTTAGCTTTCCTTTGTCCATTAGTATTCTTTAAATGCTGTTGATTATTAGGGGTACAGTGGCCGAGTGGATACAATGTTCACCTCCTATCCTAAGAGTTTCCTTTCGATTCCGGGTCACTTCCACTCACTCCACCCAACTGTAGATGGTTACTTGTCTTTGCAGTTAGGGAACTAAAGACAGTCGTGTGCAGTGCCGGCCCCTCTGTCTCTGTGTATCAAAGGTTTATTAACAGTATGCCATGATCTATCTTTCTATCGGGTAGTCATGAATATTGAAATCCAAGTTCATTTGGTACACAGTTTACGTAGGCCATCTTTATAATATCTTTATATCTATCATTATTGTCCAGTATGTAAAGCTGTTCTGTAAAAGTTAAAGCTGACTGTTCTCCATCAGCTACATCCTCCCCGACGGCCAGGTGTTTGAGCTGACGTACGTGGCTGACGAAAATGGTTTCCAACCCCAGTCCTCCTCCCTGCCCTTAGCTCCCGCCTTCCCTCACCCCATCCCCGCCCATGCCCTCCACCAGATCCAGCGAGGACGCCGCCTGCATGAAGCTCGTGCCCGGAGAGACCAGCAGCTCCGTCAGGCATCGTCCCACACCTACACTACACCCACAGCCTCCCCTCCCTGGTCACCTTGACTCAACAAGATTAAGTCTAGCTATATTCTGAGTAACTATTATGCCGCTGTTATTAAAGGCTGGTGAAAAATATATGGAAAATTAATTATGCTTTCATGTCTTTTGTTTTTTAATAAGGTTCAGTACTTACGTGTTCTAGACCAGTCACAACGTTCCCTAAGCATTATTGTTATTAAAATGTGATAGAAATTCAGTATTTACCCTTTTCCCTCATGTTATAGTAATGTTAATTAGTAAATACTTGAGTGAATTCCGTGCTATTTCCTCTGTAGTTCTGATAACCTTATGCATTCAGCATTTACTGTATGTATATTATGTATGCGGTATGTATATTATGTATATATATTACGTATGTGCTCCATTTATATACATACAGCATACATAATATACATACAACATATAACACCATCCATCATCACTACAGATCGGTAAAGTAGTTTCCGAGATTCTCGTGTGGACACACAAACATACAAACAGACATACTTCTTTGTTTTATATAGATAGATTGTCTAATCATCACTACATACAACAACATCCATCATTACTACATATAACATCATCCATCATCACTACATATAACACCATCCATCATCACTACAGATCGGTAAAGTAGTTTCCGAGATTCTCGTACGGACACACACACAAACAAACACACAGAAATACTTCTTTGTTATATATATACAGTATATATATATATATATATATATATATATATATATATATATATATATATATATATATATATATATATATATATATATATATATATATATATATATATATATACATATACATATATATATATATATGTAAGAGTTAGGACAGGTAAAAATGACTCAGTAGAAAATGCTGAGAATCTGTGACGACTCTCTGCTTGGCAAGTAATGCTCAATAATTATGTGAAGAGTTGTAACAACGAAGAAAAAATGTGAAGAACAGCTTGGTGGGCTCATTTCACGTAGAACTTACGATTTGCACACCGGACCAACATGATCCCGAGCCCTGCCTTATTCACCTCCACCAAGTTCTTGGTCCTCAGACTTTTGTCTATATCAGACAGTTTAGCACGAAACTTGAAGGAGGAACCACTCCTTCGGTTACCACTAATGGTGCAGAGGATTTTCATCTCCTGGGGCTTCTTGCCGAGGGATTTCGTCTCTCCGGGCTCAGTGTCGAGGGATTTCGTCTCTCCGGGCTCAGTGTAGAGGGATTTCGTCTCCCGGGGCTTCTTGCCGAGGGATTTCGTCTCCCGTGGCTTCTTGTCGAGGGATTTCGTCTCCCAGGGGCTCATCCATTCAGATGAACTCTCCTGGGGCAGATGCTCCTTTGAGCTGGGGGACGTGGTGTGCCTCTGCTTCAAGCCGTGTTGGCTATATACCCCGGGCAACACATATACGCTAAATATCGTAAACAAAAAAAACGAAAAGTTCATTTTTACTAAAACTATAATTTTTTTTATTAAATTTTCTAATTTGGTGAGTGTAGCGAGAGGCCTGACGGATGAGGTAGCATAGCGGCCACCACACCTAAGTAACTGAAATGTGGAGTATACTGTAGTGTCGGGGGATTCCAGAGCAAAGTTCCTGTGTTCATAAATGAGCCTGGAAGACTGTGTAGCAAGACAAAGATAATAGTGAACGTGAATAAACTGTGATTAAATGAACGTCCACAGCAACAAGTACGCCATGATTGCCTATGTCGCTCCATGGCTCTTGCAAACAAACATCACTGGACTACATCTCTCTCAAGCAAGAAGGAACCTCTCTGAACTTTAACGAATACTGCATTCTGTTTTTGTTTATTTTTTTCGCTATGTTCAGAGGTTCGTTGCAGTATAAATCTGACATGAGCCGCGTTCAGACCAGTAATGCTTGTATCATGTCTTCCTCACTACTACATTTTTCTGGTTAATATATATTACCTTCAAAAACCTTATTATGATTCAGCTGTACTAACGTTTTGTTGTCATTGTACAACTAAACTCTTACACACACACACACACACACACACTCAGAGTCCCCCCCACCTCGCGCAGTCCGCCACTACAACAAAATTCAGCCCGTCTATTGTTAAAACAATAAACAGCTCCTGATTTATGTACTGCACAGCCCTGTAAATGTATTCAACGCATATCATTATGTCCAAATCAAATGTAAGTTTGTATATTTTCAGCCACCGGCTGCAACTCTATTAATAAACCGTAAATAATATTATTTTATTATTATTATTACACACACACTCCAGACACACACACACACACTCCACACACACACACTCTCTACATCCTTGATCATCGTAGGATCAAGACCTATTCAGGCGCTGCTCCTGCTGAGCAGCGGCCCCACTCCTCAAGTCCCTCTCCCCGACCCATCCTCACCACCGGGATATCTACATAATCAAAAGTGACAATTTCATTTCGGAAAGAAGTGGGATCAGCGTTGAACAGTGATGAACAGTGTTTAAGACAGTGAATTCAGCACTAGACAGTACCAGTGAGAACCGTGATCCACCAGTGAGATAAGCACCCCTGGGAACCATCCTCTGACCAGACGGTGTTAATCACTCCACTCTGGGAACAACAGGGGGTCGGCTATGCACTTGACTACGAGATAACACAACACCACCGAGCAGAGAGTGTGAGGTACTGTGACATCACCCCACACCACACTGTGTCCCCATGACCACGTCAGGTCCTTCATATCAACACCCGAGGACGAGTTACTGCACCACGTAAACACCACACCACACAGTGTCTCCATGACCACATGAGGTCCTTCATATCAACACCCAAGGACGAGTTACTACACCACGTGAACACCACACCACCCGATGTCTCCATGACCACGTGAGATCCTTCATTTCAACACCCGAGGACGAGTTACTGCACCACGTGAACACCACATCACCTGGTGTCTCCATGACTACGTGAGGTCCCTCATAACAACACCCGAGGACGAGTTACTACACCACGTGAACACCACACCACCTGGTGTCTCCATGACCAGCCCAGGCCCGGGCCATCAACTCTAAATTATAATAATATGTATGTTAAATTCATGTTCCTTCTTCTTTCAGTTATGAAAGCTTCTGTTAAACGACCCACCCACCCCATGTCTTTGTATGTAATAAGTCATTTTTGTCCAATGTATATTTTCAGCCTTCGGGGTGCAAAACTTTTTCAATAAACCGTTAATTATTATTATTATTTATTATCATTATTAACACACACACACACACTTCACACACACACACACACACTTCACACACACGCTTCAGACACACACACACACACGTCAGACACACGCTTGGCACAAACACACACACACACACACTTCACACACACGCTTCAGACACACACACGCACACACGTCAGACACACGCTTGACACAAACACACACACACATGCTTCAGAGACACACACACACACACTTCATACACACGCTTCACACACACACACACACACACACACTACACATTTCACACACACACACAGACACACACACGTACACACGCACACACACGCACGCACACACGCACACACTTCTCACACACACACATCCTTGACCACGGAAGGGTCAAGACGTACCTGGCGCTCCTCTCGGAGCAGCCAGGTCAACTGTTAAGTTGGCTCATACCAACCCCCTGCCCTGAACCCTCCTCCCCACCGGAATATCAACAAGTTCTCGCCAGAAGTTACAATTTCATTTAGGAAAGGAACGGAACCAGTGTTAAACAGAGGTGAACAGTGGTGAACAGTGCTTAAGTCAGTGAGAACAACTCAACAGTAACAGTCGTACCCAAGTAAACCTTCACACAGTGAGGTCCCAGGTACCCAATGATAACGACCCGTGAGACCCAACAACAACCAGCGATGTGTTAATCCGTCTACGATAGGGAGGCCTAAGATCAAACTTCACTCCTATAACACCATCTGTGAGGGAATTACTACACCACATGTCCCTCATAACACCATCTGTGAGGGAATTACTACACCACGTCAGGCCCCTCATAACACCATCTGTGAGGGAATTACTACACCACGTGATGCCCCTCATAACACCATCTGTGAGGGAGTTACTACACCACGTGAGGCCCCTCATAACACCATCTGTGAGGGACTTACTACACCACGTGAGGCCCCTCATAACACCATCTGCGAGGGAATTACTACACCACGCCAGGTCCCTCATAACACCATCTGAGGGAACTACTACACCACTTGAGTTCCTCCTAACACCATCTGGGAGGGAGTTATTACACTACGAGTTTGCTGTTCAACACCTACATTAATCTGTATGTTCACTGTATGTTCCTTCACCTTTCTCTAATGAAGGCTTTTGTTAAACCACCAATGTACGTAATAAGTCATTTATGTCCAATGTATATTTTCAGCCTTCGGGCTGCAGAATTTTTTCAATAAACCGTTAATTATTATTATTATTATTATTACACACACTTCTTCACTCACACACACACACACACTTCTTCACACACACTTCTTCACACACACTTCTTCACACACACTTCTTCACACACACACACACACACACACACACACAGTGAAGTTGTCAAATCCTCCAGTTTCCGTTTCCACCTCCTCCGCCGACTCAAGTCCCTCGGAGTTCCTGCACCCGAGCTCCTCAGTGTTTACACAACATTCATACTTCCCAAGCTCACCTATGCCTCCCCCACCTGGTCTTCCTCCCTAAATGCCACACAACGTAAACACCTAGAAAAAGTGCAGAAGAGGGCATGCAAGATTATTCTCTCCCCTTCCTACTCCACATATCTAGAAGCGCTCAACACACTGACCCTTTCGACTCTCACTGACCATCACCACGACCTCATCTGCAAATTTGGTAAGAAGCTTCTACACCATCCTCGACACCGGCTCCTACTACCACCTGAGATCCCTAGCCCGAGAATTGCTGTTCGACACCACAACCGCATCCAACCCATACGTGCACGAAGTGATCGCTATAAGAACAGCCCGGTCCCAACCATTGTAAAAAGTATCAATAACTTGTAATAAACCAGTGTATTCACTCCCAGTAAACACTATTCCTTGCACTGTCACTATATTGAAATGAACTGTAGTTTGATCTTTTCCCATCTAGTTATTATATATCTTATTTGTGTCACTTATGTTACTTGTATATTATTTGTAATTCGAAACCCATTCCCCAAAT